TGATTGCCTGATAATGACTGCTAATCCTCAGAGGTAAAGAGAATATACCTCATTTCCTCCTATAATATTTCCCCTTCCTCCTCCTCTCTTGCCATTCTCCAGCTTTATTTATCTCTTGCCCTTTCCAATGTTTTCCCATCAGAGCTTGAATGACAGAATCCAGCATTGACTCTCTTAAGTGGAGAGTCACTGTGGGGAAAGTGGGAAGTGGGCATTCTGCATTCTCCCACAAAGCCGCTGCTTCCCTGACCTGACCATTTTCTACAGATACTTTGAATGGTATATAATACTTACAAAGTGCCCACTGTGTACCTGATGGTATTTGCCACACAGATGAGTCAGGTGCTGTTATCACCCCCTGCCCCCTGCCCCCTGCCCAGTTTACATATGAGGAAATTGAAGCTCAGTGAGATTCTTTCTTGCCTCAGTTTACATGGTTAGATAATAGGGGAGCAAGGATTTGAACTCAAGGTGTCTGTCTTCAGCATCTGTGCTCCTAACCCTTAAAATTCACTGTTCTCAATCAATGGTTCACCATGACCTTGGAGAATGAGCCCAAGGGAAAGTGGCACTGAAGATTCAGATTGAGTGTGCCTAGTTATGGTGAGCTGGAATTGCTCTTGGATTCCTTTTTCCAGGTCTAACATTGTGGTGATAGGAATGTAGATGGGGAAAGAAAGTGGAAGTTGTAATAGTAAAAAGAGAAAGTGTATGAAGAATAATATGTTGGCAAGAGGAAACCTTAAATCATATAGTTTAACTTTTTAACTGTAATGAGAGAATTTGAGCACGCTAAGCTGTCACTCTTGCATCTTTGAAATGTTATGATATTCAGACAAAAATGAAGGGGAGAAATGACAAAGTTCTCAAAACTGATAAACGATGAGACATGATACTGGAGTGAAGGCAAAAAGCCCATGAAAGAATCACGAGGGATACAGATGTACTTTATTCAGGCCCATGTAGAAGACATCTTATCGTTTCATTCCTTGGCGCACTTATTATGTTTGGGTTGATAAAATATAACAGATTTACTTGTCTTGTCATGTTCAGCTGCATTTGTCAGAACACAGAGAGTCATCTTGGGTGGCTCTTTAGCTGCATTTGTTTTTACAGAAATAAAATCCCTGGCACATGATAATGGAAAAAAAAAATCCAGTTTCATAATATGCAGTGTACTGTTTTTCTACACTTTAGAATTTTGAGTGCTTTGGAAATAATAAGTCTGTTTTCACAATTTCCTGCTCTCCACTAGGTTCTTGGAACGCCAAATGAGGACACATGGCCTGGAGTCCATTCTTTACCACACTTTAAGCCAGGTATGTTTCATTAATTACAAGTACTAAATACTTCCTATTGCGAAGGGTGAATGTATAAATGTTCACTCTCAAGTAATGTATTGCCTTGAAAATGTCTGGTTACTTTTTGCTGCATGAATTTTAAGTACTAATGAAGTTTCCTTTTGATTTCACAAGTATTTGTACAAATAGGGACAAATATGAGAGACTTTTACCATGTGAACTCTGGGTTGACCGCATGGTCTTGTGGTCATTTCATTATCGATTCAACCAGCATCCATGTCTATAAAAACAAAATTCAAATTGGAGCTCTACAACTCAGTTGCTTCACTTCTTTTAATAATGCTGGGAAAAGTATTAAATTGTAAAAAGGAAACATCACAATTTGATTTATTTTTACAAAACTAGTAATATATGGTCAATTAATTTTATTTAAATATATAAAATGTTCTGGGTGCCCCGCTCTATAGAATTTGGTACATTTGAATGCAAAATATGTAAATCCCTAAATTTAGAAATCTGAAAGAGCAGAACTTTAAAAATAAGTTGTCACTTTTTCCATCACCAGTAGGTGGCAGTCATGAAACTTTCAGTTTTAATAATTACAGGAAAATCTCAGTCTGCTTAATTCTTGAGGGATGAAAGATTTGGAACTTGAAATTTAATAAAATCTGGTAAAATGAATTATTATAAAGTGATTCTCTTCTTCTTCTTCTTCTTCTTCTTGTTTCTTTTCTCAAATACAAAACAGTTTATGAAATGCAGACCTACCATAAAATTACTGAAAGAGATTTTATGGAAGATCTAATAGTCCATTATCCTATTACAGAAAAGAGTTATGAATAATTTCTGTTAGGAGAGCCAAGTATATTCTTCTTCTTCTCTTCCCCTCTTTTGGGGACTATCAGGAATAAATTATCAATTCTAAAGAACGACTGAGATGGGAAACTATTTTTATTCTTAATATTTTTTCTTCTGAAAGTGTACAGTGTGCTGAGAATTCTTTTATCTTATTCAGCAGCCCCAAAGACTCTTTGTACTTATTCTGAAACTCTTAAATGACTTCTATGTTCTGAAATACTCTAACAACTTAACAATTTAATATGGATTTTTTTTATTTCTTATTTTTTGTAACCAAGAAAGAAGCATCCTCAAACAGATCTGCTTGTTCCTAGTGGGTTCTAAGTGAAGAACATAGCTTTTCATAAATGTTCCAATTGCAGGCTCTTAGAGAAGGTTTGCTTCTCATTAGGATTTAAAATTTTGTCCTAGGGAAATAAAATAGAAGAATTTGAGGGGCTGGACTATAGCTCAGTGGTAGAGCACTTGTCCGGTCCTGAGTGCAATTCCCAGCACTGCAAAAAACAGTAAAAATAAAACTTAAAAACATTTTAAATGAATAAAGTTAAATTCAAAAAGGGAAAAACAACAACAACAAGAAGAAGATAGTCATCATTTGGCCTGCCAAGTGTCTAGACGAAAAAGCTGGAGTAATTTGTCTGTTGTGGTGTGAATAGAAGTTAATCTCCATCACTAGCATACACGAGCATTTATTAAATATATTCTGGAAAGTTCTGCGTGATGTAGTGTAAATTAAGCTAACAGATTGTGAACCTCATGAGACCAGGGACTATTCATAGTATATATTTGGCATCAAAAAATAATTGTTGCTCTGAATTATACTGAATGTTTAAACAGACATTATGTATGTGACTCCTTTGGTCAATATATATAAATTGGAATACACATGTTTAGAGTTATATGTAAGCACTCACCAGACACAAAACACACACCAAGCAGCAGTCCAGAAGGGCACACACTTGAATGGCATAAGGCATGGGTGCTGCTGAGCTCATGCCACATTCCAAGCACAGCTTGACACAGAGTGCTAAGTGCTTCCTGAGTTGATTTGACAGGAGTCAGGTGGAAACCAGCTTACAAATAGGCAAAAGCAGCAGATCTATAATGACCTCCATGAAGCGCTAGACAAGCCATCAGGAGAGACCTGGTCTTGACCTCACAGACTCCATACTCCAGGGGGAAAAAAATACACTTTCCTGAAGAAGAGTATCAGTGCTAAGACTTGCCTGTGCCGCCCCGCCCCACCTCCTCATTCTACCCCAAGAGAGCCTTAGAAAGTCTGAGAGGAATACAAAATCCAAGCCATGAAGACATACTTTATTTTATAATAGATAATAAATTTAAGCAGTTTGAGAAGTCGAACAATGTGAAAAGGAACATAAAGCAAAGCCTTTTCCTTCTCTGCTCTCCATCTGCCAGACCACCTCCAGCCCCCAGAATATTCATTTCCTATTTTTCTTTCCTTTATGTAAATATAAGAAATTATGAATATATAGGTATATATGTATGTGTATTATATATGTATGTGTATATATAATGTATGTATATTTTATATATATATATATATACATACATAGACATACATATTTTCCCATCTTAATGCTTCTTGTAGGTCTTCTCATGTCACTACATAGAGGAGGCTGGAGTGGTTTTCTTCTCTGTTGTGCAGATTTAACCTGTTTTCTAATTATGGTCATTTGGGTATTGCCATTGTTCTACTATTAGAAATTTTAATGCAGTTAAAATCTTTGGACGTTCACATAAACATATACATTGCGTGTATGCAGGTGTATCTGGAAGGTGAGTTATGAGGAATAGGGTTAAAAAGCCAACAGGCATAAACTTACAACTTTAAACACTTCCGCCAAACTATTGTCCAAAGGATCGACACCCCTTGCCTCTGTTACCAGCAAAATACATGGGAATGCTGCTTCTCCACAGCATCTTCTCTGCCCTCTAACAGTGTGCAGTCAAATGCAATTAAATGACCAAAAGTGTCTCAATCTCATTTTAGCTGTAGTGATGGGCTTGGCCTCTTGTCACATGCCTGAGGATCACTTGCATTTCCTTTCCTGGCAATTTTTTTTTATCTTTTGCCCAATTAACAATTGCAAGTTTTGTGTCATTTTCTTATCAATTTCCAGGAGTTCCTAGAGAAATTCTTCCTTTATCTATGAAAAGTTTTTGCTTTTCAGAGATTAAACAAAATGATCTTTTCTAATTTTTAAGTTTGCCGTCCTCACTCTCATGTCTTCCTTAACTTATTTAACCAAATAAATTTTGCCTCAAGAAAAAGAGCCCAGAGTATTTGCAAAGGAGTTCAAATGTTATTTTTTAAACTAATCTTTATGATTCATTTCCATAAAATCATTTATTGATTCAACAATACTTCTTGAATATCACTTGTATGTTTGGGTGCTGGGAATATCGCATTGAACAAAACACAAATGGTCCCTATCAGGAGAGAAACATGGTAGTGAAATTTATTTATGCTCTATTCAGTGATGGCGAGTACTATGGAAAATCAGAGCAAGAAACATACAGGGAAGTCCCAGAGAAGGGCTGACTTGCGATTTTAAATAAGGTAATCGAGGAAGGCCTCTCTGGGAAAGTGATATTTGACTGAAAGACCTGAGGGAGAGAGTCGTGAAGATGTTTAAGGAAAAGGCTTTGCAGATGGAGAACAGCAAGTACGGATGCCCTGGAGTGGGAAGGAGACAGTTGCAACTGAGGCCACAGAGAGCAAGGTCACAGAAGCAGGTCACAGAAGCCCTGAAGGCTGCTCTGAGCCCTTCTGAGTGCTTCTGAGTGTTAGAAAGCTCTGGAAGACAGTGAACAAGGAGCAGCAGTGAGGTTACCCTGGCTGTTGCACTGAGAACTGGAGGCCATGGAGAAGCAGGAGAGTCAGGAGGCTGTGACTGGAGTCTAGGAGAGAAAGTGAATGCACCATGACTGAAATGTATGCGTTCCCAGCTCTCCCACTGTAGCTCAGCAGTGAGCATGTTTCCTCTTAGAAAACACAGTAAAATGAAGAGTTGTTTGAAAAATAATCGTTCAAGTAGTAAAAGAACAGTTTATTTTTTATATTTAGACTGTATTCATCCTCTTCTTTACTTACGTTTAGTTTAACTCAAAGTTCATTTACCTTAGTTTATTCCTGTAGCAATTCAGCAACCACCAGCCACACTGCATTATGGAAATGCATGTCTATATGTGTATGTATGTGTGTGCATGTATATACATGTGCAATACTGCATATGTACATTACATACATAATAGACACATACATATATGGATAGAGGTGAAATGACTTGTGAGTAATAAGTGATGCTTGGCAGTTTTTGTTATAATACATTAAAAAAAACACCTTACATACATATTTGAGAGATTGTTTGACTTTTCAGAATGGTGGTAACCCCAGATTAGAGCAGAACACACATACACACTTGTTCTCCAGTTTGGTGGAATCAGCATGACTGATGGAGAATTCTGTGAGGGCTTGGGAACTTCCCCTGTCAGCAAGAACCCTGAAGCTGCTGAGTGAGGAGTAGTGGTGTTTGCTTGGGCTTCGACTACTTACACAAAATGAATGTTTGATCAGGATGAAGCCCCAGGGACCCTCTAATTTGGCTCTTGTCAAGTTAGGAATCTGAGGTCTAGAGAGGTGAAGCAACTCCCCTAAAATTATTGTCAGAGGTTGAAGTAGATCCCAGGTCTCCTTGCATCCCAGTTCATACACATCTCAGAGTATTTTTCTCCTTGATATGTGGATTACAATTTCTTATTGGCCACCTTCTAAAGGACAGTCCACTAACAACTGGTCTGTTTTTTAAAATTCAGAAAAGTAGAGAGGATTTGATCTCCGTGTTTGGTAAAACATGTGCACAGAACCTCCAACAACACCTTGTATAAGGTGGCTTTGTATCAACATAACATGTAGACTCCATGTATGGTACTTTAGTCACCTTTTAAATATTTTCAACAAAAAGGGTATTCAGCAGTGATTTAATGACAAGTTATTATTCAGAAGATAAAAAAGAAGACACTGTAAAGTTCAGAGAGGAAAAAATGCTTGCAGACCAGAAACAACTAAAAATAATGGAATTTATAATGAAATAGTTCCATTTTCCAAAATCAATCATGGGAACAGGGCATTTCCA